TACTGATAGAATAAGAGGTTAGCATATATAACCTAATGATAGACATTTGGCTAATGTCATTCTTTTCTGAAAAAGGTCATTGAATGAGCAAGTCACAAATAACCATAATGAAGTTAGATATGGGTCATTTCTCAGTTCACAGTATGAATTCTATTCCTCGTAATCTATTAGCCAAGGTCTTCGTTTGGTATTAACATCTTAAAAAGTGACATTTCTAATTCTATAGTAAACATTTTTTCGTTTCTTCCCTCCAGATTGTTAAATAAAATGTAAAAGGAAAATGGTTAGCAATGGAGTAATTAAAATCAAAGGAAACTCAGAGAAGGGGGACTTAAAATGAAAGTAATGATTATGTCAAGTGCTAGCACCTTCCAGAAGCCCACTGTCTCACTCAAACAGTCCATGGAGCACATCTTAATCTATGATTCAATAGCAGTGCCAACAGAATTTTAACATGTCCTATGCAAATCCTAAATACTAAAAGATCTCGATTGGCCTTCCAGCTCTATCGCTTACTAGCTGTGTGATTTTGAGCAAGGTACTTAAAGTCTTCAAGTCTCTATCTTGTAAGTTTTAAAATGAGAATCATAAGATTTGCCCTGAAGTGCTGTCAGAATCAGAGATAATGTGTGTAAAATGCCTATCATCACCACAACCCATTGTGGTGCAGAATGACTAATATTACCATATTGCATAGAAATTCGTAATTATTTGTGACTTTTTCTTGTATATTATATTTACTTTAAAATAAGAATCAAGGCTTAAAAATAATCTCTACCTCGGGAATTATATGCATTCATTTGTTAATAGGATGATGATTTGGGGTGAAATAGACAACATGCAAATTTCTGAATCTTTCTCAGTCAAAAGTGTTTTCCTTTGAACATATGGTCTGCAGATGTTTATTAAAACATATCTCTTCATTAGCAAGAGAAATGGAAAGCTCAATTATAGCTAAGTTTTCCATCTTATATTTTATAATTCTTTGAACTCTGGACCACTGATAATTTTAAAAGTAATAGGAGGAATAAAATTATTTATAGCAACATTTTATGTAAATAAAAAAGATAAATGCTTAAAAAATAAGTATATGAACATCAAATTTTTATAGTCAGTGATAGCAAGAAAAATTACTGATTTTTCAGATTTTTCTGAATGAGTTAAAAATGTGATAAAACTTTATTTTAGTTTCTTCATCTATAAAGTGGGGGGAAAAAACCAATAAATCTTTTCCTCTCAAGTATCACAAATGTGAGTCTTTGTCATCAAGTTCCCCTGGGGCAGAGTTTCTTAGATTTCCATTACGATTCTTCTCCTCTTCTCTTACAAAGAAATCCTGAGTTTCCAAAGGGTGTGTGGCTGCCTGGCTAGGCATTCACTTCCCAGTTTCCCTCACAGACTTAGTTCGAACCAAAGGGATGGGAGAGGATGTGATGTGTGCTACTAGAAGGTGATGAAACTGGGACAGCCACAATGGCCCAGAGCTGGAAGCCCCCTTTGAAGGTGGCAGATTCTTTCACCAGACCTGGGACCACTTATCTTTGTATAATTCAAGGAGCACAAAATAAACCTCTACCTTAAAACACTGTATTTGGGGGCTCTATTTTAGAAGCTTAGCCAATGCTCTACTAATTCAAACCTTCAGAGGAACACAGCACTAATTTAGAGAAAAAGTAGGTTGTTTCTAGATAAATGGACCACATTTGTTTACCACCCTGTGTGTACACTTCTGATGGTGGTGGCAAGTTAGAAACATCAGATATTTTTTAAAAGTTAACAGATTTGTATTCAGATGCTGTTTTATGAGTCTGAACTGTGCCAACATTAATAGTCTCAGAAGTTCTCAAGCAGCTTATTCCAATAACTGGTTGCTTGGCTGCTCTGACGTCAAGACGTAAACTCATGGAAGCCTTAATCTTTCTTGTTTAGTGCCAGACTTTGCCCTGTGGTTTCTTTGGCATGGACCATGCAGACTTTGCCTTTGCCCTTTTCCTCTTTACTTGGTGCATGACCTCCAAAAACTAGAACCATGGACTTTGTAGTTGTCCTTTGTCCCTGGGAATGCTGGTCTCTGTCTGTTTTCTCAGGCATTAACCACTGGGCTATATTTAAAGGGGTAACTTTTTGATTGATTCAAAGTTAATTGAAATTAAAAAAAAATGACTTCTGTAGAATTTGAGATTTGTAAACCCAGGCACTGGTAATCTTGCTGATTATAGATAACATAGGGAAATTTTTTTGGAACAGTAGAAACCAACAACTGTTAAGTAGTTTGCAAAATACGTTACAGTAATCGTATGTCACATAGGACGTTTTCCTCCCCATTAGTTTTGTGTTTTATGAAAGACTTGATTGATTTAGAGATTCATTTAAGTTTTCTCGGCTGATGTGCCTGTTGTATTTCTTGAGCCTACGTTGCTGCCTGCTGGCTGTTCTTTCTAAATGGCTATTCTAATGTCTCCAGAAATAGGTCCCCAGGTTTTTGTTTTGTTTTGTTTTGTTAATTTTGGAGCCACATATGTTGGCTCCATGTTTTTCTGTTTATTTAGATAAAGATTCCTGATATTTCCCATTAAAGAGGACTTTCTGAAAATAGCTAACCATTAGCAAATAAAATCTCTTCCCTTCTCCCCCTCTTCATCCCCCTCTTCCTCCCCTCCTCCCTTTTTATCTCCTCCTTCCCCTCCTCCTCCCTTTCCTCCCCATGCCTGTCCTCCTCTTCCAACTTGTCTTCCTGCTTCCAAAATTGCATTTCCTCCCACCCCAATCTATTCTCCATAAAGCAGCCTGGGTGATCTTTTGAAAATGTAAGTTGAATCATGTTCCTCCTTCGCTCAAAACCTGATGCTTTCTAACTCACTAGGAGTAAAATTCATTGTCCTTATCACAGCCTATAAGGGGCTTGGTTTCTCCTTTATTTCTCTAGTCTCATCCCCTATATTCTCCTTCATGTTGTCTCAATCTAAATGGCTTTTATATTAGTTTTTAAGCACAAGAACACACTTACCCCAGGACCTTTGCACATGCTATGCCCACTGCCTGGAATGCTATTCTCTCAAGTATCTACATGTTTTACATTCCTTCATTTAATCCTCTGCTCAAATGTCAACTTAATGAGGAACACTTTCCTGACCATCTATCAAATTTACCCCTCCTTCCTCTCCACCCCCAGACATACACACAAATACAACCACACACACACACACACACACACACACACATACACACACAACCTTTGCCTATCACTGTGTCTCTCTCCATCATAGCAGAGAATTTGTCTAATTTGTTCACTGACCCACTCCTCCAGTGCCTAGAATAGTGCCTGGAATGTGGTAGATGATGAATACGTATTTAACACATTAAAAATAATTGAACACTTTGTTAGCAAGGTACTTCATAAGGAACATGTTTTCAATTACAATCATCCCTCAGTATCTGCCAGGGACTCGTTCCAGGACCCCTTAAATCATCTCTAGATTATTTATAATACCTGATACAATATAAATGCTATGTAAATAGTTGTTATATTTGTTTTTGTTTGTATTATTTTTATTGTTGTCTCTTCATTTTTCTTTACCAAATATTTCCAATCCACAATTTGTTGAATCCAGAGATGCAGAACTTATGGTAAGGAGGGCTGACTGTATTCTATAAACCAGCGTTAGACATTAGTTGAAAAGTTCAATAATTGCCAGAATAGAATTTTCTATTAATTACTAAACATCTGTTTACTACCTAATGTACTTTGCTATATAGACAGAGAAGTTATTATTGTCCTCATTTTATAAATGACAAATATAAGTTTAGAGTACTTAAATGACTTGTCTACAGTAATGCAAACAAGTTAGTTGGAGGTCCAGGCTCTGCTGGTAACTAGTTTGCATTACTTTGGACAAGAATCCCGATTTCCTAGCCTTGTCCTCTTTCCATTCTATCACATTGCTCTTCCATATATACCCTATAGAGGGAAGATAGCCATATATTACATAGGCGTGAGCGGAGAATATTGGTCTTTGAAATATGGATATCAAATGGCACACTACTTTTGAAAATAGAATAATTATAATCTCACCTGCTGAGCCAGTCAGAATTGGCTAGGTTATAGTACATAACTCCTTACATCTCAGTAGTTTCAATACAATAGTTTGTTTTTCAATGGTGCTACAAAGCCCAACATAGCATATAGAGAGGCTTTATTTATCAGAGTTACTTGGGGCCTCGGTTGATGGAAGCTGCATTTGCATACCTGCTTTGGTGATCACCAAGGCAGCTGCGAAGGAGGGCTGTAGAGTCAAGTACTGGCAAAGAAAGATTTCAAACCCTCTCACTTCACCTACCAGAACTAGTCTCATGGCCACTCCTAACTTTGAGTGAGCTACAAGCATAGGAGAAATGAATATAGGTGAAAGTGGTCAACATTGGTAATGATTTTCACCCCCACTCATTGACAAATACCCACACACATCTGTATGTTACTTTTCTTGATTTCTTTCTTTTCTTTTCTTTTCTTTCTAGGAAGATAATCTACTTTTCCTATAAGATCCTTTGACTGTGGTGAGCCTAGTGCTTATCACTTGGTTTTACCTGTTGACTTCTCAGAAAAGTGGGTAACATCCAGAAAGACTGAAGCCAGATTATGATGACCGAGAGACAATTTATCTTCTCCTGGGAGCTTTCACCTAACAGTGGCAATATTGTCTTCTGATTACATGTTTAAATGTGTATTTGCTACTCAATTTTTATGTTAGTCACCTCTAACTTTTATTTGTATATAGTTGTTGATAAAATAATAAAATATTTTAGGGAAAAAAAAGAATTGAGCTGGTCTTTGTAATTGCAAATTGTTCAAATCATGCTCTCCTAAATATTACTGTATTACTCATTCTCTTTAATTTCATAGTCAGGAATATGAGAAATGAATGTAAAGTTAGAAAGAGGAACTAAATCATGGTTTATATAGCCTGGCCTCCCTTAGAAGTAGAAAAGTGGAGAAGTAGGAGTAAACAGAAAGATAATGCTTATAGTACGTAAAAAGCAAATGGAAAGATGGACTGTCATGGATTATGCTCCTGAGCCATTATCAAAGGTAATTTTTCCTCAAATTATTTAATTAGAACTATAAACTATAAAATTATTCTTACTCAGGCTTTAAAATTATATATCTTAAGTCTCAACTTAGTTTTAAATGTTTAAGTATTATTAAATTTTAACTTACATTTGTTCAAAAAGTTTGAAATAGATACAATTTTTAATGCTATTATTTGATTATTATTGGTAATATTTTATTATAATGCTTTAGTGATGAACTTGATAGAAGGAAAAAGTAACTGATATGTGAGACTTATAAATATTATCTTTTGATAATGCAAAAATGGTTTCAGATTTTGCCAAAGCTTGTAGAGAATTGTCATGACTATGTTTCTTTTATTTTATGCAATATGTCTCTGAAGAATTGGTTGAAGATGTAATTATTCTATAAAATGTCAGAAATATTAATCTATCATCTATCAATCATTTTTATAAAAAAGCACAAGACAAAAGGTTATTCTATAGAATATATTTTTGATAAAAATATAAACTTCATAAATTTGAAATTTTTAAAATTGTATTTTCTTAATGTCAGGAATAAATAAATTTGAATTTTATAATTTAGAAGTGAAGCATATATTTCTCATTATTTACCAATGTAAATAGACTTACAACTTATTGCTTATTTCCTTTATCATGTTGAATCCTATTTCAGATAGCCCTTAAATGGAGAGGAATGAATTATTTAAATATGAAAACCATCAAATAAATAAAATCACTCAAATTAGTTAAGAATGATAATAAAACACAAGTTATTTAAATGCATATTTGAAAGATGGAATTTCATTATTGTTTAAAACATGACAAATTATATAATAAAATAGCACAATATCTTATAATCTTTTAAGGACAAAATGAAGAAATCTTTGATTATAACTGCTGCTACTTTATATTTTTAATATAAGAAAAATATAATAGATAAAAGCAAGTAGAGTAAGCAAATGTCCTCTTCAATTTATATAATATTAATGGGTATTTGTGAAATGCTATAAAATAGAACTTATATTATTTTAGTAGGACCTAGCATTATGTTTTTATAGTAGTATGCTATCGCAAAAGAAAGTAAAAACCTAATTTTTTTCCATTATTGTCTACTTTAAGCAAGGAGAGCACAATAGAACTTTATAAAATATTGTTGTACCTCAGAACTTTAAAAATATTTTTCCTTTGAATATCATTAAAATTTTCATTAGCACACTTTTCACATTTTTGGGAATTGTGTTAGAATTTTAAAAGATAGAAAATAAATTACTTAGCATAATTAAGATGTGAGATTGTTAAAATTGGTTAGAGATATATTAGTTGCTTAAATTACACGAAGCTGAATAGAAGAGGTAGTACATGCTTCAGAGGTCTGTATATTTTTCACACTACTAAATAATTTGGCTTACTTAGTTTAGATATTTATTTTCTTTAATCCATATTGCTCATTTAAAGATACAAAGAGTTTTAGTTGATATTACCTATCAAAGATGAGAAAAAAATGAATAAATAAACATTTAAAAAGACAAATAGGCTGGAAAATAGACCAGAAATATCTTTCATAGCAGAAACATCTTTCATTATATTAAAAAAGTTTAGGTGACAAACATAGGATTGAATCTTAGAAGTATTTTTTCTATTGGTTTCCTTATTACTTTTGCCCTTTAATGTTTTTTTTGGAGTGTATTTGTATTCAAACCTGTAAAGTTCGAATAGCACTATTGCTATTTTCTCAGAAAAATGTTATGAGACATACAGGGAAAAATAATAATGAGTGTGAGCCACATGGAGCATTAGAGAGATAAATTTGTATGTGGAAAATAGAGAAAAAATTTAAATGTATGTGGAAAGGCATGACATAATGGAATGGTGAGATAATTCAAGTGGCTGTATAAGGAGTTTGAGATCTACTCTGAGTGGCCTATATTCTACTAAAGAATGCTTTAAAAACTTCGTAAATAATTTCCAAAATGTGTTAGGCTTTCAAAACCAAGAGTTTGGGTATTTCTTCAGTGCTTAAGGAAAGCTCAAACCTAGCTATTTCATTTTGATGCTGAGGTATTATTTTCCTAATTTTACAAATGAGGAGATTGTGGCTCACAAAATAAAACAAAACAAAACCCAAAAAAGTGTATGTTCACATGAGTAATAAATAGGGGCCATAGAATTTGAAAATAAAATCTGATATGTGCCAGAAGAAGAATTGAAGGTTGAGTAATATATAGTCATGTCCTCAAGGGACTGGTATTTATTTAGGAGGAAGCAGGATGAGAGACATGCAAATGAATAAGTACCTTCAGTGTAATAGAAGTTATAACTGTGTGATTGCATTAGAATGTATTTGAGAAAACAAAGGTGGGCATGTACAATTCAACCTGGGGGTGCTCAGGAAAGGCTTCTGAGATGAGGCAACAGTTAGGAAAGTTGTCAGGAGTCCAACTTTCCACAAGAGGGGGAAAGATATTTGGGGCATTTTTGCATCTATTCATCTCTTAATCACTTCCCGGGCCCATGCTCAATATATTATGTTTCATTTTCCCTCAGAATCCTGATTTCTTTTTTTCCCTCAAAAGACTATTCCTTCCCTACTAAGCTTATTTTCAATCACCATGAGCTATTTATAATCACTAACCAATTTTAGTTATATGGTATCTTTTCTTTATTGTGCTATTCCATATGCACTGAATTTAGTACACATATATTAACAGTTGAATAAAATTTAATTTGTAGTATCTATGCTTGCTTATTTATTGTTCTGAATATCTAGGGTCAGGTTAATTGTCATTAGGAAAAATAAGGAGAGGAAAAAAGAGGAAAAATGGGAAAAGTCAGTGAAAGGTAGACAAAAGGAGAGAAGAGAGTGGAAAGAAAGAAAGGGAGGGGGGCAAAGGAAAAATAAATGCTTGCTAATAAATGTGAGCAGCACTGTGCTTCACATGCATGTGAAAAGAAAGCAATGTGAGATTGGAAATTTTAGGGAATATGATAAAAGAAAGACAAAATTTAAAAATGAAACATAAGAAAATATAGGAAAGATCATCTAAGACACATTGGAGATCTAATATATGAAATGAAAACTCTTGCTATGATCAGAAGGCTGCAAATTATGTTCCAAGTGACCAATTTAACTATAGATATTTCAAAATCAAGTTTATATTACACAAAAAGATAAGATAAAGAGTACCAATAAGCCAAGCCTTCCATGTGATCTAAAATGTATATCTGGAGCAGAACTATTTGATCATAGGATATAAAAATGGCAAAGTATGTTAATGACCATTTAACCCAAAATCTTCATTTAGGAGATGAGGATATCGAGGCCTATAGGCCTTTACCATGTACAAACAAGCAACCATTGGGAGACCTGCCTAGATTCTGCATCCTGGGCTCTTTTTCTGATAAACAGGGGCCTATTAACATTGATATGGGAGAAAGCGGATTTGTAAACAACGCTCAAGAAGTGTAGAAGCAAGCCCTTGAGAAATCAAGCAGAAATTCTAGAGAATCACAATAAAGAAAGAGCTTAAAACACACACACAAGCCATTTCTTTTTTCTTTCTTTCCTTTTTTTTCCACATGAGCCATTTCTACATGACCAAAGTGTTAGATTCAAGGCTAAAGATGGGTATAGTTCTGGACAAACCCACATGAAATAAAATATTTCTCTAGTTTGTAATATCTCATTTTCCTATGTTTTAAATGTCTCCTACTAATTTTGGTGGGATTGCATCTTAGAAGCAGGACTGATACAAAGTTTAAGTAATTTTTAAAATAGATTTTTTCTCTTAAAATGCATTTGATACCCATGATATATTTTTATAGACAAAGAATGAGTTTCAGAAATAATAGTATTTAATATTTAAATTTGTTTAAACAAATTTGCTCCATTACCTGTCTTTGAATGTGCTTTAAAAGAATGAAATTTATCTCTCTCTTGCCTAAGTTCCTGTCATCCCAATAGCTGGGAGCCTCTGGGACAGTGAAGACATAGATGTCCTATTGTGCTGTGGGCACAGGCTAAGATTCCTTCAGGGAGTATCAAGACTCCTTCAGGATCAGGGCCAGAGTGAGGAGAGGGAAGCACTTACCTCAGGCACAAAATTTAAGGGACATCAAACAAACTTATAAATCAAGATAAATAATATTTTACTGTGATATTTTTAAAAAAAAATTTTTAAAATTCAAAACTTAAGCTAAAAACTCCATAATGAACAGAGTATCAACAGAGCAGTAATCATGCTATGCTGAGCCACATCGGAGCCTGGGGCAAAAGGAAAAAGAAATCAGTAATGCAGATCTGAGAGCTGGGGAAGAACAGGGAGTTTTACTTTTCTGGTAAGGTAGATTTTAATAATTATGCAACCATGTCACAAGGAATGTTCTAAAAAGAGTAGAAAGATAGAAGCATTTATTCAGTCAGTTAACATAATCTTTTTGACATTTTAAGGCACCTAATTAAATGTGTGGCCTGAGGGTGGCAAAAGTGGGGATAGTGTTTTGGAGATGCTGCTAAAGCAAGTCTGTAAGAACTTTCACAAGGGGGACATTTCTCCCTGGAAAGGTTTTTCTAGCACTACAAAGACATTGGAGCTGGTAAAAAGCAAAATATACCCCAATTTAACAGGATCACAATTAAAAACAATAATAAAACTAGAAAACAAAACAAAACAAAAACCTTTGAGTTAACCCTCCAAGAGAGACCCTGGCAGGCTTGCTGTAGGTCCAACGGCACAGTAAGAAGTACGGCATGGAAATAAGTCAACTGTGCTGTAGCAAGGAATTGCCTATTGTAAAATAGTCCTTCTTTGCTATCTTAAATAAATGTGATGTTTGACCATGTGGCTGTGACTGCTTCCCATCCCCTGGTTAACATCATCTATTCATTCTCCAGTTCTTGGTTTAAATATCAATTCTTCAAGGAAATTATCTCTAATTCCCCAGAATAGATTAGAGCTCTCATTATATATGTCCATTGGACCTCATATTTAGGATTTATCAAAATGATAAGTATATCAG